TTCATGACCTAAACAACAGAATGTGTGTATATGTGGACTACAAAAATAGCCAGTAATTGAATTTAAGCTGCATTTTCACTTGGCTACCAGAGACAATCCTATGAACTCCACCATTGCTTTGGTTCGAAATTGTGGCAGGGAACATTGTCACGTTACAATATTACCTATATTGTACTCCATGTGAATCTGATACAGTATAAGGAAAAACTTGCTCTGTTCTGAGGAACTTATAGTTTCCCCTGCTCATCTGAGAGTTACATACATTATGAGATTTCCCCCTCAGACTTCTTTTACCTCTTTAACCCTCAACTTCGACCACTCTGCTTTGTTATGTTGGCAAATGCATGAGTGTTGGAAAGGGAAAAGCACAGGGTGATAAAAGTATACTAAAGAAGGACCTAGGGATTTTTTTAATTAAATAAAAATAAAGTAATACAGCATTTCACTTCTAAAGTTACTCAAAATATTTATTTTGATCTCACAAGATGGGGATTCACAGTCAATGATTATCTCAAAAATCCCAAAAAGCTAGCGAAAAAGTCAGAAATACCAGCAAACAGACCTAACAAGGAGAGGTAGAAAAAAGAGTTCAAATATTTTTCAAAGATTGCTGTCCAGTTTTGTGAATACAGTATTAGATTGTTTACTAGGAGTGACACCTAGGTGCAGCAAATAAACGCTAATGACTGAGGGCCAGATTAACCGACCTAAAAGAGGTCAAGCTTTATGAAAGCTTGGAGAAAAAAAAAAGCCACAGTGTATAGGAGTAATTACATCTAACTGCATAGCACTAAAAGACAGCCTGACATTTTAAAAGTGTGGGCATTGTGGGTAATGATAAGGGAGGAAAAAAAAATAAGAAAATTTAAAAGTGTGGGCACAAAGGCAATCTACAGAATGGGAGAAAAATCTGCAAACCATGTATCTGATAAGCAGTTAATTTCCAAAATACATAGGGTAGTCCTGCGACTCCACAGGAAGAAAACATTTGTTAATGGGCAAAGCAGGATTTTAAGGCTGCAGTGAACCACTCCTAAGACCCTGTACAAAAAAAAAAAAAAAAAAAAAAAGGTCCTAACTAAATAGACACTTCTCAGGTATATAAAAAGGGTGCTCAACATTACTAATCATCAGGGAAATGCAATTCAAAACCGCAATGATATATCACCTCACACCTGTCAAAATGGCTCTTGTCAAAAAGACAAGAGACAACAAATATTGGGGAGATGTGGAAAAAAGGGAATCCTGGTACATGTCAGCAGAAATGGAAAATGGTGCAGCCACTATGGAAAACAGTATGAAAGTTCCTCAAAAAAATTAAAAATAGAACTACCATATGATCCGGCAATCCCACTTCTGGGTATTTATCCAAAGGAATTGAAATCAGGATTTCGACGGACATCTGCACTCCCATGTTCGCAGTAGCATTACTCATAATAGCTAAGATATGGAAACAATCTAAATGTCCAACAAGAGATGAATGTAGTAAACGTGGTGTATATGTGTGCATGCCCAGTGGAATACTATTAAGCCTAAGAAGGAAATCCTGCCATTCACAACAACACAAATGCACCTAGATGACGTTACACTAAATCATATAAGCCAGTCCCAGAAACACAAATACTGTATGATCTCACTTATATGTGGAATCTAAACTAGCAAATTCACAGAAGCAGAGAGTAGAAGGGTGATTGCCAGGGTCTTGTGGGAAGGCAATCAAGTTTCACTTATGCCAGATAAATAAGTTCTGGAGATCTATATAGCATAGTGCCTACATCTAAGAATACTGCATTGCATACTTAAAATTGTCTAAGAGGGCAGATTTTATATCAAGTGTTCTTACCACAAAAATAATACTAATAATACATTCATAATAAAAGGGACAGGGAAACTTTAGGAATGATGGACATGTCTGTGGTGTTGGTGGTGGTGGTTTCACAAATATATACTTATCTCTAAACTCACAGAGTTATATACACTAACTACCACCTTTTACATGTCAAAAAAGAAAAAAAGGCTTTTCATACTGAAAAAAAGAAAAAGAAAATAATTCCAATAATCTGTAGAATGCATATTTTCCCCCATCCTATGCATACACCACTTGGGAAGAAGACAAAACTATAAGAAAAGCTCATAGTGCTATGACTTTTTAAAGCAAATAAAATGTCTCTGGACACAGTGAATGAAATAATCTAAAAACAGAGGGAAAAGAGGGGGAAATAGGCATCAAGTGTAGTTAGTTAAAAACATGGCACAAAAGCAGAAAAAGGAGAAACTCCTCAATTACAAACAGGAATATTATGTTACAAACAAGACTACATTTCTTTTTACAAAAATAAGGGTCTGCTAAAGCAACAACATGGGCAACCCCATTTTGCATCAAATAAGACTTTACAGACACTGGCAAATGTCTATTATAGATCCCACAGACATAGAGGGTGCCTTTAAGTACTTCACAAAGGGTGAACCAGGAGTGCTCAATTCCTACAAAACTAGAGAAGAGCTAACCATAAATATACAACCTGCTTCATAAATATGTAGTCCATAATCTTAATAAATTCAGAATTATAATTTATC